CGCCCCCCCGGCGGCGACCGAAGCGGGGGCTTCGCTAGGGGAAGGGCGGGGGTCACCCCGGGCGCGGAGGCCCAGCTGGACTGGCACGGCCTCCTACCCCCTGGGGTAGGGGCGGGGTGGGTGACCCAGCTCGAGGTTCGTGCGGAGCGCGGAGTCCCGGGTCTCCCCAGCGGGGCGGGCCCAGGACTGCGCCTCCCCACCGCCGCCCGCCCGGCCGCGGCTCCGCCCCGCCCGGCCGCCGCAGGGACAGGAGGGGGGCGGAAGGAGGCGGCAGAGCGGCCCACGGGGGGAGGGGCGGGGTTAGGGACGCGAGGGGCGGGAGCCCGGGGTCGCGCTGGCTTGAGGACTGGCGCCTCGCGGGGGCGGAGGGGCGGGCCCGGTGGTCACGCGGCCCCGGGAAGGCCTTGCCGGGTCGCGCAGTTGGGGGCGGTTGGTCCGGGAAGAGGGGCGGGGACGAGCGGGGCGGTAGTTTCTCTTTACCGTCTCTTTACTTTCTAAAGCAGGATGTGGGCCGGCCTGGTGACGTCATGGGGTCTCCCAGCCCCGCCCCCCCGCCCGGGCCGAAAGGGGGAGGGTAAGGGAGAAGGGCGGGCGGGAGGGTTGGGGGGGTACCCCAAGGGGGTTTCCTCAGCAACGCGTTGAGGGAAGGGAAAAGTCATTGTGAAACTTGAAACTCATTAACTTTGAAAAACAACTTTAAAAAAAAACGGGAGGGGGGCGGGCTGTTGGGTTGAAGGGTGGAAGGGGACGTATTAACCCTGAACTGAAATGAAACTACTTTTTGGTGGCGGATGTTCTATTAAAAGATTGAGGGAAGCCAAGGTTATTCCAGAGGCCGCTCCAATGCCCGCTGGTGGTTCCCAGAGCCCGAATTGCGAGCGCTGTTAACCCTTGCCTGTCTGCCTGACAGCTTGGGGCAAGGAGGAGAGGGGTCTTCGAGGTCAGGAAAGGGGGTTGTGGGTCTGGACCGCCGAGCTGGTCCCAGGGACTCAAGGGAGGAGAGAAAGGGGGAAGAGGGAGTAATTACCATAAACCAGAGTTTGACCCCGGCTGCTAGAAAGCAATAGAGGAAGCAAGAAGTGGAAATCTATGGAAAAGAAATCAGGAGGGGCTGCACAAGGGTAACGATAAAGGTTTTCGGGGTGAGACCTAAAGAACGTTAGAAGTTTGGGGCGCAGAAATTCCATATGTACACCTAAAGAAGCAGGCACAGTGACTGGTTTAAGGAGCCACGCTGAACTTGGGAGGAGTAAGGTGAAACAAAAATTTTGCGCAGAAGAAATTCTCAGATAAAACCAATCTGCTTTCCCCTTTTAAGGAATAAAAATGCTAAACGACCGTACACCCACTCTGCTGGCCATCTGTGCAAACTTGAATTGTGTTGTTCCCTGGGGCTTCCATAAAGACATCTAGGTTTTTCCTGCTGGGGTTGACCCCTAAAATTCCCCTGAGGAAATCCTACCTCTAGCACATTTGAGCTAAGTAAAGCTTAACGCACCAGAATGCGAATGATTAAAAATGGAATACTCAATAATGGCGAGCTTGTAATAAAAAATAATGTAATGTAAAGAGGGGAATATACCTGTGAAAAACTGGATTTGGTCATAAGAGCAAAGAGCAGCCAACAACTACCTAAATTTGAAATAATGTTTAGCATACTATGCTTCCAAACTTGCAATAAAATAATGCAGTTTTTTCATTTTCGATGTGATAAAACCATCTCTTTTATGAAATGAAATGACACCTAATGGATTGCAATCACCAAAAAATTATGTAAATACCAGTTTGCAACTTGAATTAAAAAAAATCAATTTAAATGTGAAAGTATCCCTAATTTGTCAGGAGATAAAGATTAAAGTAGCTTGATGATTACTGATTCTACTTTGTGTCACCTGCTAAGTCAAAAATGCTAACTGAATATATTTTTAACCCAATAGGTGTCGACCATCACAAATGCATAGTGTGAACACAATGTTTATATGGGATTTGGCATTGCTGTGAACTTTCTAACAAATTAAACATGAAATCTGGAGTTGTAATAGATTAATTCTGTCATTTCAATTTGTTAAAGAACTTTTTTCTTAAACAGACTATTCACAATTTAACTTTCTTGAGCACCAACTTAATATTTATCTTTTTTGTGATATATACAATACCGAACAGTTTCCCATTTTCTGTTTTCGAGTTTTCTAAATTCAGTTTCTTTTCCTAATTCTGCCTAAATTCTGTCTACAATTCTAACTTCCTAGTTATCAGAATGCAAGGAAATCCAACTAAATAAAGTGGCTAGTTTCGGCTTAATTATTTTGTGGCAAATTGAATACAACTTCTCAAATTTAATCTTATAAACAGAATGTGGTGGAAAATAATTTTTTTGAACCACAAGATAAATGTGAATGACAAAGAGCAGTTTGAACTGTCAAGAATTCTGTAACAATGGGGGAGGTGATCGTACTCTGAAAAAAAAGGGGGGGCTTCTAGGACCCCATTTCTCTTTGGCTGCACCCCTCCTGGCCGTGAGAGTGCTTCTGGAGCCCCCGTCGGGAGTGAGGTTCAAGTGAGGGCAGTGTCACTGGGAGGCTTCGCACACATTTTCCTTGCAGAGCCGTTTTGGGAGAACACAAGTCCCCCGTGGGCTTTCCGCGGGGCTCCGCCACCCCGCCGCGTCCACCGGGCTCCGCGCCACCCCGCCGCCCGCGCGCCCCCTGTCCCGGTTCCCACGCGGCCGCCTGGCCCGCCCGGCTCGGGCTCCCCCCTGGCGCGGCCCCGCGGCCCCGGCCCTCCGCCCTGCGCTCGGCCCGGCAGCGCCACCGCCACGCGGAGATCCCGGAGGTTCCTCCCCGCTGGCCGCCGGGTCACGCCGCCGCCCGTCCCTCCCCTCCGCCCTCAGCGCGCGCTGGGCTTTCCCGTCCACCGGCCGAATCCCCTCCTCCTCGGGGCGACCCGGCGACAAAACCTGCCCCGCACGCTCTGCCAACTCTGCCCCACACCCAGACTCTTCCCCAGCCAGACGCCAGACAAAAGAACCAGAAGAAAACTTACCCGAACTGCCACGCAAAAGTCTGATCCAAAGCTTCCTGGGTTTAACTTTTAATTTTAAAAACAACAAAAGCAGAAACCAAAAGCCTCCTAGGTTGGAAGTGGGCGTGAGAGGAAATGCGAGGGGGAGGCGCTTCTTTCCCTCGGCTGCTTTGGCCCCCCCTTTTCTGGCCCCTGCCTGGGGCTTTGATGTTATCTAGTGCACCGCCTACATTGGGTTTATACCGTGGGCTCCGCGCCGAGCATGATACACAGAAATTTGGCACTTTATATGCTGGTTTATAAGCAGGTGGTCACAGTAAAAGGATTCCCACTTCTTAACCCCGCGGGGAGAAAGGAGCATTTACCCCGCTGCCCTTTGTTACCTGGACTGAAATGAACAATCCACCCATCTAGTAATCTTGAGCGCTGCACCTTGTGGCATTTTCTGTTAGACACACAAAAAAAGAGGCCTTCAAAATTAGATTCATTTTCCCTCCACTCAGCACAAACTTAGAACAAGGTGATATTGTACGTTTTCTGAGGCTTTGTTTGGTTTTTAGATCTCAGTTTTGAAAGTAAATATTATTTCCCTTCTAAGATAGACCTACAGACTTGAAGAGACAAGATACCTCTGAAGAAAACTCCATAATAACACAGCTTTCATATACCATTCTTACAGATCAGACTCTCCCAGCACCCTCCCCCTCACGTTACAGAAAGCTTGTAACTGTTAATTTTATCTTAGTTAACTGGACACTAGCAGAAACTGCATATATTTTTACATTAGATTAGTAGTCTCAGGACCATCACATAAAAGCACTAACAAATGATGCTTTTTTTTCCCTTAAAAAACAGGTTAGTAATCAAGAAATATTGCACATTCTGCCATTCAGGCTTAACCTTCATCCACTTTATGCCAACACCAACCTGTATTCAGGCCTTGCCCTCTGGGAGCTTACAAATTATGGAGACAAAATAAACACATGGAAAAATACCTAGAGGGAAAAAGATACAAGAAGCAGCTTATGAACAGAGCCAATTAAAGTTACACAGAGTTATTTACATGATTGCTGAGAGCTTTCTGGATTGGGTGGAGGGCAGGATATCAGAGAAAGTTCCATCCTCAGGGTGAGTTCTGAGCAGGATTTTGAAGGAGAGAACATTCAGGATTTGGCAATAGTATGAGAACAGCATTTCAGGGAAATAAGCTTGAAGGTGAGAGCAAGTGAACTGTGTGTGATGGTTTGGCTATAGCAAAAAGTCAAAGTAAATGTGAAGAAAGAAGGGTGGCCATATAAATACAACATCCAGATCAGGGCACTTTTGAGAGGGAAGGGGAGGCCGTGAATAACTATCCCCAGGTGAGAGGCATTCACCTGAACTGTCCTGGTCAAACAGAATGACTGGGTTCCCTAGTGATGAGCTATGAAAACAGAATGGGCAGGGAAAAGCATTCCTGCGCATCCTTAGGAAGGAATTAACACATAATAGATACTGTGAGCAGTTGGTAGTCATTTGGAGACATCTGGACTGAGAATGATCTTTTTAAGGAAAATTATTGTTACTGAGTGATTTAGAATCCATCATGATAGTATTTATATTGGCAGTAGTATTAATAGTAGTAGTATTTGGATCAGCA